CCTCATAGCATCGGCCTCCCTCCCAACCGCCTCAGCAAAGACATCCGCCAACCACTCAACAGCATGCGAACTCTTAACAGCCCCCTCAGAAACAAACCCACCAACAAACTCCTCCCACTCTCCCAATCCACGTCCAGCAGCCCTCAAGACACCGCGCGCATACCACCACGGGCTCCGGTTCTCCGGCGCGCGCAGGATAGCCTCCTGGGCAAACTTCAGCTCGCCATCAATCATGTCCTCATCGACAACAGACAGCCTGCCCTTCTCGGCCGGCGCGGTCGAAAGATCGCCCGCGTTCACCATCCCCGCGTCGGGCGTCGAGGTGTCCCGCGGCCCGAACCGGAGCATGTACCGGTGGTTCCAGGCGGAGTTGTTGCGCACGTCGGCTTTCAGGAGGAATTCCACGTCTTCGAGTTCGCGTGGTTGGTCCCATAGCTTGAAGTGTCGCACGAGCCAGTGGCGGTAGGTCCATACGTGGTAGTTTTTAGAATCCTGAGCGAACATCTCCATTAGGAAGTCTGCTTCTTTGGGCGGGAAGGTTGGGAAGTGCGATTTTGATGATAGCAGGACTTGGCGGTGGTGCCTGTTTGGTTATTAGTTTTGTTTTATTTGTTTTTGATATTTTGCTTTTCTTGGCTTTGTTTTTTTTTTCTTTCATGGCTTTTTGGCGTGCTTGCTGGGTGATAGTCGACATACCAAATTTGATAGTTTTTCAGGTACTTCAATGAAACATCGTTCAGCCAGCTCAATTCTTCATTCAGGTCCTTCTCCAATGCAAATAGAATCTTTGCTCGGTAGATCCTGTATAAAATGTCAGATATTGATATGGCATGTCACAAGGAAGCTATTACTAGCAACCCTTACCACACAGTGTAATGCGCTGGGTTCATCGAGATCACATCTTTGGTCAAATTCAATGCCCGCTCAGACATCTCGTTTGCAGCCATCACGGCACGCAAATACGAGGTCGCCTCGAGGTACTTGTCTGGGTAGGCGATGGTGGCCAGTGGCATGGCACCCGAGCTCGAGCCATCATCCAGATCAATTGGGGTGACAGATGCCCATTCGGGGTCGGTGGAATATGTTCCCTCCATGATTTGTCGGTAGATAGTGCAGCGAAAAGCTTAAGAGTGGAATAATAATTGCTGGGATGCAATCAAATGGTGGGGTTACAGGGGTCGAATGCACAGGACGAGTCCAGGTTTGGGTCTCACGACTAATGCTCCGTGCTGTCAAGGTCAAAGTGTGCAATCTCAATCAATCAAACTCCTGTTGAAAAGAGAATTGCCTAAATAAAAGACTGGAATCACAAGAAATGCGGCGAATATAAAACATGAGGTGGAGGTGGGGCGGATGTTGTCTGCCTTAGGCGGAAACAAAGAAACCGAACAATATCAAGGGAACCTGCTTCTCTTCCTATTCTTCTTCGTCTTCCTTTCTTCTTGGGAGGAAATTTGAAAAAGAAATCATATATTTGCATTATTACTTTACTATTATTATTGGCGATTCCATAGTCTTTTCTGCTCCTTGATCCACCATTTTCCCACTTTCTCCGCGTCTACTAGCCACTTCCCGGCTTTGTCTCCATGTTTCTTTTGTACACGACCGATCAACTCCTCGAGGGACCACCCACGCAAAGGACTCAATTCGTCCGGGTCGGTATCTAGATCAGAGAAAATGTACTCAAAATCTTCGGCGAGCGGCAATATGAGTCGATAGGGGACTGCCGCAGACCCAACACTGAGCATTGTACCACCAGGGTTTATAATGCCAAAGTTCCATGCCTGTCGGCCATTATGGGTAGCTTGGTACGGGCGCACCAACGACTGTCCTTCGTATTCATTCATCAAGTCTAGAGCCGCACTTGAGTCCATCTCATTCAACGAGCCCGAGTTCACGAGTAGATCGAGAATGGTCGGGACAACGGACATCGAGGTTGCATTTGCTGTGACTTGGAGTGCGGGCAATAGCGGGTGTCGGAAAACAAGGGGAATACGGAAATTACTGATGTGTCCATTCTCGTATGTACCGGAGACTGGCGCGTCTTCAGGGAATGCCTGGCCACTGTTTGGAATTAGTATATGGTTTTCTTGGTTGTTCTGTCGAGCTGTGCAACATACTGATCTCCCACGAACACGACTAATGTCTCGTTTGCAATCCCGGCTTCGTCGAGCACCTTCATCATATCGCCAAGCCATGTGTCGACGTATCGGACTGCGTTCAAATACTTGTTGATGTCCTCGTGCTTCGCCATGAGACCGTCGCCGGCGAAGTATTGCTCTTGGTGGTATGCCGCGGGCGTGCCCCATGGGTGATGGGTTGTGCTCGTGAAATGGGACAGGAAAAGTCGTTCGTTATTCTCAATTGTATTGTTCACCACATCTCGCAGATATGGGTATATCTCGTACTCCGGGTATCTAGGTAATGTATTAGCAATCTGAGTGCGGGTGGTCTGGGATAGTCCCCAGTCGGCGAGTCGGCGAGATAATGATATGCTTACCCAAAGTAATTGATTTCCTCCATGCCCTCGTGATAATATTTAGCACTTTTCTGACCAATGTCTTCACGATAGATAGATTTTTGAAACCCCATCTGATTGTTGAGCTGATCTTGCTCGTCATACAGTCCTGTGATGGACTGCAAGAATACGGAGCTCCAGTTTCGATTATGAATATGCTCAAGCCCAGTCTCAGACTTCTGGTTCATTATAACCTCCTTAGTCGAGTTCTCCTTGAGCTGGTTGAACAATTCAAAGATCTGCATGATACATGGCTGATAATTCTGGGCGTTGACCTCGTCCATGAAGTTCACCGGCAGTGGGCCCGTACCGCAGTAGTTCATGACTGCACTTTTGAACGATAGACTGCTACCAGTGAGGATGCCATTGACATTAATGCCGCCCATTCCTGGCTCCGTCGTATCATTCCATCCACCACTAGAGGGGCTGGATATGTTGTTATTTGTCGAAAGGCCACTCATCTCACGGGTCAACTTCTCTGCGTTTGGTGTCAAATGTGATAATTTGGCATTGACCGCTTGGAGTACTTCGGGGTCTTTGGTATTGTAGGATGCCAGAATCTCCTCATGCAGATGTGACCCTGCCTTGAAGGGGAATATATCCTTCCGAGCACTTTCCATCAACACAAGCACGACATGTGTAATGGGAACCTTATGGTTTTTGAAAGCCCGAGCTACGGGCTCAAGTATTTCATGGTCGAGGTTGGTGATTCGAAGAGGGTCACCCACGGGGCTATATATGTTATTTTGAGAAGTCCCATTCCCATCCAGAGTAACACTGTCTCCCTCGTCTCCCTCTCTGTCTGACTCTCTTTCACTCCACCGCTTGAATCCTGGTGGCAGATTTCCGTGAGACCATGCGGGTCGATCCTTTTTGGCATTGGAGTCTGGCTTCCCCGGAGTCCAACCCTTGAAGTGATCATGTGAGCCTTCCCAGTAAGGCTCATCAATCAGGTCCGCGAATGGAAATGCTTGATCTCCAGTCTGATGCAGCCCAGCAGGTCTCGAGCCCAAAGCCCGGAAAAAGCTAAATGGGATAGTTTCAGACATATGGTTATATGGCACCTGGGGCCGAGTCAAGCGCAAGAGTCCAATGACTATCGCAGCGCATACTGTCCAAAATTGAGTGAGCCGTGCTGCCCGCGACTTTCTTTGGGGAGTTATCATGATTCCTTCTTCGTCTGCCTTTTCGGTTTTTGCGCTAAACAGCGCAGACATCCAATGGTCCATGAGAATATATGTCCAATGTTTGAGCAGCCATGAGAGTAGAAGAAGGGTGCTTGCAGCTCCCAAAAATGATCTCAGCCCGCTGAGCATCAGCTTTCTCCCTTCCGGGTCATTTCCCACAGCTGTGGCTGCATCCCAGCGGATCTCACTCCCAGTGACAAAATAGAAGCCAATTTGAGATGAGGACAAGATGAAGCTTAGAGATCTGTAACAGTTAAAATCTTGATTGGCTATAGCTTGTAGAAGTAGATTGAAGTACTCACGTTATGGCCACTGTCACTGCAGTTCCCAAAAAGGACTTTACACCCGTGAACTTGAATAGCAGCTCCCACACGGCTATGTATAGAAGAATCTCAAGGATAAAGAATGTCGGAAAATAGAGCGCAAATTGGCCACCAGGAAGGGAAGAGGCATGTTGGAGGAGATGAAGCACTTTGGACGATGTCACTGACACGGCCAGAAGCGAGAAAATAAATGGTCTGATAGAGGATTGGCGTGCGATGATCATAATTAATAAACGAGAGCTGGGAAGACCAAAATGCACATTGTTGCCTCTGATTCACCCTTCCCGAATCCAAGTCTTCTAGCTGACAGCAGTTATAGTAACGAGAGTCCAGCTGTGATTTTGAATTGTGCTTTTCGTGCTTAGGGCAGGCCTATTGTTAATCAAGAAGATGGAAGATAGAAATGCCATCTTAGCAATGGAATTCTCTGTAACAAAATACAGATGCGGTGTTGTGATTATATGGTTTCGCATAACCGAATCCGGCGTGAGGTTTAATTGTTTGTCTATGTACACCTCAACCTCACCTAGGCAGGTGTTAGCCTGAGACAACTTCAACGTTGAGTCTATTTAATGGTATAGATTTTGAAGGGAAAAAAAAAGAGCAACCTCCATTATCTCACCCCGGGAGTTCTATCTCTATCGGGCGAGATGAGGAGGGTCTATGTTCCACTGTCAAACCTCTGGAGTCGAACTGAGACACCTTAGCATGAAGGTATGTGGCCTCCGTCTAAACAGGAAAGGGGTCAGACGAGCTACCAAGGGATGAAGGGGTGAAGAGGCATGTGCTCACCTACTGCTTTGGGATGGAATTCCAAATATCTTTCTTGGAATGTACACTTGGAGTGGTCACCAATATTTGTACCAAATAAGAATTGGACGCTTTTGTCTACTGAGGCTGGCTCTTCCTATAGGTCAATATTGTACAGTAGGACTACCTATGTAGATAAGTGTATCGTGAATATATACAAGCTCAATTTGAGCTACCACTAAATGTCTCCCCGCCATTGTTCAGGTATTCAATTTCCTCCGGGGTAGATACTCTCCCCAGTGCCTGGTTCCGATGGGGGTATCGTCCAAACCTCTCAATGATCACTTTGTGCCTCTTTTCAAAGTCAGAATTACTGCTCAAGAATGTCTGGACCGCCTCCGCCTGCTCGGATAGAACACCGTGGCATTTTCTTTCCTCTTCCGTAAGAGTTGATGCATCCCTAGCCATAAGCTCATTCAAATCTCTGGCTATATCCTCGTGCACCTTGATGGCTTGCTCATGCACAGCCAAGTTTTCCGAATGCATAAGGGGCATATGGAACCAAGTACGATACGCCATTCGATACTTGAAATACGGTGACTGTGTCGGTATCCCTTCTTTAATTGCGCGAAGGGCAATCTCCTCGGATAATGGGTCAAAGCGCCCAAACACCAGCTTTGACTCGGCTCCCCGGTAGGAATTGCGGGGAATCTGGTCAAGTAGAATAATGAGGCAGAGCCAATCCATCGGTGAGGATGGGTTAACTGCAGATAGAATGTCCGAGGCTGATGCTCCGGAGCCAACTATTATTTCCAAAGCTGGGCGGAATTGGGTGCTATTTTAACTCGTTAGTCTTATAATCTTATGTCGAAAGAAGGAAACACATGGTCACTTACACGCAGGCCTTGTCAAAAGCCTCGTCATGAGAAAACCACTTCCCCATATCGCTCCATCCGGGTAGGATGAGCGCCTCGTCGCAGCTCAGATGATCAAACCACAACTTGTGTACGTCATCAAGGAGGGTTGGTGTCAAAGTCTGTTTGAGCTCGGAGAGGCTTGCCATTGTGATTGGAGTTGAGTGAAATTCGCGAACAAAGGTACTTCTGCCAAAAGTTTTCTGCAATTGAGGCCTTCCAATTGGATTTGTACGGAGATTCGGGGTGAATATCAGGGCATTGGCCAGTATCACCACTGGGTTGACAGTCGCAAGTCTTTGAAAAAGTCCTGTTGAGATTGCCTATATTGATGACAGAATGTCAGACTTATGGAAATGCCATTTGTGACAATTATTTACCTTGCTGCGCACTAGAAGTCTCATTATGGAGTGTTGTATAAGTATAAATACCAAACCAGGGCTCTCTTTTGATATAATCTTGGAAGTACTCCAATTACCAAGCATAACCCCGAGTAACCCCGAGACCGCTGAGTCATCAATATGTTCCCAGTCGAAGCAACCTTCGACTTGTTTGTTCTATTTTTATTTTACTACATTGATGTAACTATACTCTTTAGATAGCTACTTAATAGTTATAGCTCTCTATATAACTAGATAGTATATATATTATATAGTCAAGACATCATTTCTCCCATCTCACCCTATTTCACCCAAAGAGGAAAAAGAATCCCGTTGTATCTCGATAAGGCCCATTTTAACTCCCCGCACGGTTTTTTTCCTCGGCCTATACTCCGCATCTTGGATCCTGTCGGATCTTCTCAGATTCATCTTCTCTATGCTTTTATGATGCGCCGCGTTAAGAAATCCAGAAATGGCTGCGCAAGATGCAAGAGTAAACGAGTTGGTGTTTCCCGTTTCCCGCCCAGGACAATCGGGATGAGGATATCACTAACATGCACAGGTCAAATGCGGCGAAGAGAAACCTCACTGCTCTCGCTGTACCCGCTTAAGCGTCCGGTGTCCCGGCTATGCACAATCCCTACGCTGGGTTACCAAGTATGAACAGTCTAGTCCCGCCGTAGCGGCATCGATCTCGGAGGTGAGAAGCCCGAGTCCCGCTGCCTCGACTGCAAACCAAATCGACGATGCTTTGCTGGATGGTTCAAATTTTGAACCGACACATGAACCAGGTCCTTCGAATTTTGTCCTAGACGAACGAACTCCTCTGTGTGACAATCTATGGGAACATCCAGGCCATGGGTCTTTACCCGAACTGACGGATCTATGCTCGCCGTCCCCGATGGCGACGGGAACGTCCTCTTTCACACTCCAAAGAGACACTTTCCATGACTTTGAGCAGTCAGAAGATATCGGTGTGGATTTGGCACACTTTCTGTCACTTATCGGACCAACACCAGAGGAACGGACTGACAAGGTTTACCGAGACTTCTCACCCGCAGCCATTGTGCGCAGTTATCCTCCTGCATCACATCGCACTGCACCACATAACTTCATATCAATGTCTCGTCCACTAAATAATCCATCATGGACCTTGATCGAGTACTATTTCAAAGAAGTGGCAGCATTGTTCTCTAGCTATGACAGCCAGATGAACCCATTCCGAACCACGGTATCCCGTCTTTGGGGATCTTCCCTGGCAATGTGTCGAACAATGCAAAGCATGGCTGCTGCCACGCTGGTCACCGAATTCCCCCAGTTCGGTCCCATGGGCCGAAGGATGCGTGATGAAGCTGTTGAAATAATCACGCGCGAGGCAGTAATAGACGACAAGTCTTTGCTGGCGCTGCTAATGCTCGGACAGACGGCCAGTTGGCATGACCCAAGTGACTTGGGTATATCATTTTTCAATCTTCTCCGGAAGCAGCTTAATACCCTCGCTTCCCCATCGCACAACCCTAGCTCCAACTTCCCTAAAAACGACAGCAATAACTACCGGTTCTTCGAAGAAGCTCTCATCTACTGGGAAATGTTACTTTCTTTCGTCACAGACAATGACACCATGGTCCTATCTGACAATTCGCGAAACACTTCATATATGGGCGAGTCATTCGTTCTACAACGAGTCCCACATCCATGGACCGGCATCGCGCGCGACACCCAGTTCACGGTGCACGAGGTCGGGCAACTCATCCGCCGCGAGCGAAAGCGCATCCACTCAAGGCGATTCACCTCCCAAGATGATATCACCCGCGCACAGTTAGCAATTGAGAAAGCCCGCGGATTAGAAGAACGCCTCTTGGGTCTCGCCCATCCCTCCGAGGCCGAGATCGTCAGTCCCGGTGACGACGATACCCCAGTATGGCACCTCCTCACAATGGCCGAAGCGTATCGATGCGTCGGCCTTATGCAGCTATACCGCGTCTTCCCAGACCTACTGCACAACCGTCTGCCCGCTCCAACATCCACATCACCCCAATACCCCGGCAACGCCGAACCAGCACCCCACGACCCATTCTTCCCAATCGACCTCGACAGCATGAACCTGTCAGCTGGATTCGGCGACCCCAGTCCAGCAACAGGACAAACCACCAACAACTCTCGACACAACGCCCCTCCGCCATCCACAAGATCCTCCCCTCACAATCTCTACCGCAATTCCCCTCACAATCTACCATCCCCGCCATCACCAGACGCCCAACAACCCCCCACCCCAGAAGCACTATATAGCAACTGGCTCACCGAGTTCGCCGTGACAACCCTCTCCCGCCTCAAAACCATACCATTGGAATCGCGCACTCGCTGTCTCCAGCCATTCCTCCTAGTAGCATCCTGCTCAGAGCTCCGTCTCCCGCGTCTGGCCACAAACGCAGGCGCTCAACCCCGGAATAGAGAAGATTATTCCAGAGGCGTTGATAACGATAGTAACAATCCGAATCAAACACCTACCATCTCAATGGAGGCCATTGAAGTTTCGCGCACGCGCAAGTTCATCCTCGGCCGGCTAACGTCCTTTCTGCATGTTCTACCGCCAAAGCCGATTCATGTATGTCTGAAATTGGTGAATGAGGTCTGGAAGAGATTGGATTCTGGGGATGATGATACTTATTGGGTTGATGTTATGATTGAGAAAGGTTGGGAGACAACTATGGGGTGATATAGTGCCAAGTTGGGTTTTTGGGCTTCCCAGTTCAATAGCATGAGAATTCCTTTCCGCATTTGCAATCAGTGTACATAGCTTTTGCTGAATGATATGTTAGAATTGTAAATTTATCATGTCTCGAATCAGCAGTAGTCGTCGTCTAGATCAAATCGGTGGCACTAGATCGAAGGCAGCGTGTGTTTAAAGATATCAACGGATTCTCAAGACATATTCCTCATATTTTTCGGGACATTGATATGCTAGAAGCGTAGAGAAAAAGACAACAAACAAACTCTTAATCAAAGAAACACAATGGAAATGATCATAAAATTCATGAAAGTCCACAGAAACACGAAATTAAAAACAAGAAAACACTCCGAACCCCAGTATCCCTTCTGTTTTGATTTTCATAATTTCCCAATTTCCATCTCCAGAATCAATCCCGATATCAAGTATACGAATCCACAAGCACACATCAGATGCAAAGGCAGATACAAGATACAAGATACAAAACTACTTGCTACCACTACCCCGGGTGTATCCCTCCCACCACTTGGAGAACATGCCTCCCTTAGCAGCCTGGTCATTCCAGCTCGCGCGACGGGTGGCCATATCCGCGTTTGTGGATTCACGCTTCTGGGTATGTAGATTCGAGAAGAGACCTTGGGAAGAGCCGGCTGAGCTTCGACGACGTTCACCTAGGCTTTGGAGGTTCGAGCCGGTGCCTTCGGTTTGTTTGTTTCCGTCTGAGGAGGTGGAGGTATTGGAGTCCTTCATTTTGGTGTTAGATTGGGGTTTGGAGATGTGGTATAGGGGGATAGATGGATTGGATATAGGGGATATATGGGTAGAGGGACAGCAATAGTAGTGATACAGTGGGGAATGGTATATAAGAAATAGAAATCCAAAGAGGCAAATGATGACCTACCCTTCTAGTGCCCGTGTTAGGCATTGCCCACGCAGCACGACCACTAGGGCTCTTGGCACCGCCGTTCATCCAGACATTTAGTTGTTGGTGACGGTCGCCGGGGCTTCCGTGCCAGTGGCGGCGGGTATTGTCATCCGACATGTTGGATATTTCTAGGCAGTTGGAGTAATCCGTAATGGGTGTGATCTAGTTGTTTTAAGGGAGGATTTAGTAGAAGTGGGATAAAGTATAGAATGCTAAAGAGATTAAGGGAGATAATAGGTAGAAGATATTGTTTTTAAGGGTTGGGAGTCAACGACGTCATTCTTGTTCGGGGTTGCCTCTTGGAGATGAATGGAATATGGAATATGGAATAGCTGAGACATAGAATGGTACTTACCGCAATATTCTCCAAATTTAGCTTGGATTAATGGAAATGAATACAAGTAATAAAGACAGAGGCAAAGAGGGGAAAAGCTGCCTTATAAGAACTGAAGGTTACTAGGTTACAACGCGGTGGTGAATCACCGTGGGGATCTGGAATGGTCTAGTTCCTTATGCATAGTACTTAATGATACTTGTCGAGTACATGGATTATGACCTGATATGATCATGTATTATGACTATTTCCACTATTCCCTATTATTCCCTACTATATTGTCCTGTTTATGTCCTGCCTATGTACTGTGATAGTATACCCCAGAGAGCCCTGACGTAATTAGAATGCGGGGAAAGCTTGGCATATAACATAAGATATCAAAGAGCTACGATCTATACTTGCATCTTAGAATAGATAGGTATCACCCTGACTTCCTATCAGCTTCCCTCAACACCTCCCAAACCCTAACACCCTCCTCCCAATCCCTGTCCTCCACAATCTCAACACTCCCATCCCCCCTCAACGTCCTAACCCCCCTAGCCCCAGAAACCCCCCATCCAAACTCCCTCTCCCCAGCAACAAACCTCCCTAACGAACCAACAAACCCATCCTTAACAACCCCCTTCTCCGCCTCCCCCAACAACCCCCCATTCCCAAAGAACCAAATCGGATAATCCGACGAATGTGTAACCCCCCCACCTAACCGGCAAAGCAGCCTCCACACACTTCGCCCGCCACTCAATCCGATACCGAAACAACAATGACGAAGCATCAACCCCGTCCTCGTTCTCCGTCAGCGCATACGCAAGCCCACGCTGCATCTGGTGAACCTGCATATCAGCATAGATCCGTCCCCACGCGTCCTGGTCCCAGTTCTCGCAGTGCGCAGGTAGACGGCCGTCTGGGTAATACAGCGGTATAACAGCATCAACGATATGTTCCGGGTAATCTGCGACGAGACGGGTGCGTAGTGCTGAAAGCGTGTTATCTGTCGGTGGGAACCATGTACCGTAGAGGAAACGCTCGTCGCAACATTCGCCTACTATAATGCGAATGTTGCGGGCTAGGAGGCTGCGAGCGAAGGTGCCGGTGTCAAGGGATGCGAAGAGGGATGGGGAGATGAAGGATGTATCTGTTGTTGGGCGGAATTGGTGGAGGGGGATTGTTTTGGCTTGGTCGAGGAGGGTTTTCGCGGGCATTGCGCGTAGACGCGTAAGTTTCTCGCTATATGGTAGGGTGAGGGGAATATCCAGAGCTGTTAGGAGTTGGTTGAATTGGGTTTGTGTTTCGGTTGGCTGCTTGGGCTGGACGGCTGGGCTGTTTGACCAGATGCAGGCTTGGCGGACGAGAGAGTTCTCGTCTGGTTGGCGGAGGTCATAGGCTAGTTGGTGGAAGACGGAGTTGGCACCTGCGGAATATCCTGAGATCGTGATCATCTCCGGATTACCGCCGAATAGATGGATGTTCTCCTTCGTCCATTCCAGTGCGAGTCTCTGGTCCCAGAATCCGTGGTTGCCAACCGTCTCGCCGACAGTGGCCGCGTCCTCCTCTAATTCCGCTGAATACAGGAATCCGAATAGGTTGACCCGGTACGCGGGCATCACAATCACGCAGTTAAGATGAGCCTCGCCGATCAATGCAGCCGGATTGAATGAATTGGGCGTGCCGAATTGAAGCCATCCGCCATCTGCGCCGACCAATGCCTATCAGTACGGGTTATGTGGAACATTATCACCTCATTCCATGTCCTAAAGCGATATATCCCAGATTCAATTAGACAATACTCACGAATAAAAACGAAAACCGGCCATCCCCCCTCAGGCGTTTCCGCAATAGGCGTCCAGACATTACATTGAAAGCAGTCCTCGTTCCACGCATCCGGGTTTTCTGGTGAAATATTCAGAAAGCCTGGTTGGGGACAAAGTCCCGCACCTCCCTCACAATGACCCGGTGCTTCTTTGCTGCCGTATGCGAAGGATGCGGGAAGGGGCTGAGCGCGGCGCCAGCGCTCGGTGGGGGCAAGGCCGTAGCGGACGCCGCCAAAGTAGTGGCAGAGGTCTTTGGCTTGGCTGGTAGGAGAAGACAATGTTGATATTGTTACGCCTTGGATTGTGCCACGGTGGGCGAGGGATTGAACGTGAGTGCGGCGAATTGTTTCCATCTTTGTTGGCTTTTGTTCTGTTGGTGGTTGATTTGGGGGTAGTTGAGTATATACGTAGATCCTAGGTCATAGGGTAGATGTAATCACACACCTCTCTATTCTGAGGTGGTACTCAAGTATATTGTAGTCAAGTAGAGTAGTCTGATCCGGGAAGCTCGCCCTTTAAGACGGTATCTATGGGCGCTACATGCCGCAGTTTTCGGACGCCTAGTAGCCGAGATAAAGACACGATTGTCTTTCATTGGTGAGAGACAAGGACATCGGCAATTGGCAATTGGCGATTGGCCATTGAATAGTTGGAGAGAGAGGAAGTTGCGGGGAGAACGGCAGAAGTCCGGCTCGGGGCCAGATTTGGGGTCACTGACTTCGGAACCATAACCCTAGGTATATCGGAGCTAGATTTGGAGTTTACTAACTTGCGCTGGCTTAGGAAGTAAGAATAGCTGTGAAAAGGGTTGAACAGAAGAAATACTGTTTAATTCCGAATAAGCTAGAACAACAAATTGCCTAAATCCAGAGGGGAACTCGAAAAAAATAAGAAACTAAAAACTAAAATCGCTGAGAAATCATTCAAATCACATCACGCATCACAAATCGTGCATGGTTCAGTAGTACAGAGTCACTATGCTTTTATGCCTTGCTGATCCTGCAGATCAGGTCCTGACCATCGACGGAGTCGCCCTCCTTGACTTGGAGGTCGGACACCTTTCCGCTGTGCGGGGCGGAGATCACCATTTCCTAAGTGAGAGTTAGCAACACATTCATGTCTGTAATAGAAAGGAAATAAATAACATACCATCTTCATGGCGCTCAGCACCGCAATAGGGTCACCCTTCTTGACCTCGTGGCCATCGTGGATGCGGATCTCAACCACGACACCGCTCATGGGAGCGCCGACCTGGCTGCTATCCGTGGGATCGGCCTTGGCGCGGGCCAGGTTCTCGATCGAGGCCTTGTTGTCATCGACACTGACCTGGCGGACTTCACCGTTGACCTCGTAGAAGACCTCACGCTGACCGGTCTGCTCGGAGAGAGGACCGATGGCGAGCAACTTCAGGATCAGGACCTTACCCTTCTCCAGCTCGACGTGGAATTCCTCGCCGATCTCGGGACGGGCAAGGAAGTAGCGGGTGGGCAGAACGGAAAGATCGCCGAACTTGGCAATGAACTTGCGGTAGTCCTCGAACACCTTGGGGTACATGGCGTAACTGGCAACGTCGCATTCGGTGGCGGTGCCGAACTTCTCACGGATCTCGTTCTTGATCTTGATGAGATCCATGGGCTCCAGGTACAGACCGGGGCGCTTGTCGAGCTTGCGACGGCCGCGCAGGGCCTTGGTGCGCAAAGGCTCGGGGAAGCCGCCGTAGGGCTGGCCCATCAGACCTTCGAAGAACTCCAAGACTGATCCAGGGAAGTCGAGCTGATCGGCACGGTCGATCACGTCCTGGGCGGACAGCTTGTTGCTGACGATCCAGGAGGCGAAATCACCACAGACCTTGGAGGAGGGGGTGACCTTGACGATGTCGCCCAGCAACTCGTTGGCCACCTCATATGCCTTCTTGGTCTCAGCCCACTGCTGTCCAAGACCCAACTGACTGGCCTGGAAGATCAAGTTGGTCAGTTGGCCACCGGGGATCTCGTGCTCGTAGACCTCGGGGTCGGGGCCGGTCAGACCAGCCTCGAAGGGAGAGTAGAGCAAGCGAAGCTGAGCCCAGTAGCTGTCAAGAGCGCGGACATGGCCCAGGTCCAGCTTGGGGTCGTGCTCGGTACCCTGCAGCGAAGCAAGGAGAGCACCAATGCTGGGCTGCGAAGTCATACCAGACAGACTGTCGGTAGCGGCATCCACGGCATCAGCACCGGCCTCGGCACAGGCAATCATGGAGGCGACACCGGTTCCGGCGGAGTCGTGAGTGTGAACGTGGATGGGGAGATCGGGGTAGCGCTCGCGGATGGAACCGATGAGCAGACGGGCAGCCTGGGGCTTGAGCACACCAGCCATATCCTTGATTCCAAGAACGTGGGGACCCATCTTGACGATCTTGTCCACCAGACCCAGGTAGTACTCCAAGCTGTACTTCTTCTTGGGGTTCAGCATGTCACCACTGTAGCACATGGTGGCCTCAACGACACCACCGGCCTCGTGGACGGCCTTAATACCGACCTCAAGCTGATCAAGATCGTTCAGGGCATCGAAGACACGGAAGATATCGACACCGTACTTCTTAGCCTGCTTACAGAAGTGGTAGATGGCGTTATCGGGAAGGGAAGAGTACGCAACACCGTTGGCACCGCGCAGCAGCATCTGGAAGGGAATGTTGGGGACGGCCTTGCGCATCTTGCGAAGTCTGTCCCAAGGATCCTCGTAGAGGAATCGCATGGCCACATCGAAGGTGGCTCCACCCCAGCACTCGAGCGAGTAAGCGTTGCTCAATGCGTGGCTGGTCTCAGTAGCGATGTTCAGCATATCAATTGTTCGCACACGGGTGGCAAGCAACGACTGGTGGGCATCACGCCAGGTGGTGTCCATGATCAAGCAGCCCTTGTTAGCGCGCACAGCCTTAGCGAAGCCCGCGGGGCCTTCGCGGTCCAAAATCTGCTTCCAGCCCTTGGTGCAAGGCGCAGAGATGTCAATGGGCTTGCCAGCAGCATCGCTGAGAATAGGTCTGATGATCTCGCCCTTGAACTTGGGCTCGCCGATCTGGCCCTTGATGCTACTGCCGTTGACAGCAACGTCACCCAGGTAAGCGAGCAGCTTCTGGGCGCGGTTCTGGCTGCCGACGAGAGCAAAGAGCTCGGGGGTGTCATCAATGAAAGTAGTCCAGCAAGTACCATCGATGAACACGGGGTGGCTCAGGAGCGAAGCAAGGAAAGGAATGTTGGTCTTGACACCGCGGATACGGAACTCAACCAGAGCACGCAGCATCTTGCGGCGGACAATCTCGTAGGTTGAGCCACGGCAAGTGCACTTAACCAGCATAGAGTCGTAGTGAGGAGTAATAATGGCGCCAGCAAAGCCGTTACCACCGTCCAGACGGATTCCATTACCACCAGCAGAGCGGTAGACCTCGATCTTACCAGTGTCGGGGGAGAAGCCCTTGGCGGGATCCTCGGTAGTAATACGGCACTGGATGGCGAAACCGCGAGTGGAGATGCGGTCCTGGGTAAGGCCAAGCTGTTCAAGAGTTGCACCAGCGGCAATCTGGATCTGAGCGGCCACAATATCGATACCGGTGATTTCCTCGGTAATAGTGTGTTCGACTTGAATTCTGGGGTTGATCTCAATGAAGTAGTGCTCATTGCCACAGACAAGGAACTCAGCGGTACCAGCGTTGCGGTACCGGACTGACTTGGCCAGTTTCACCGCGTCAGACAAGATCCTATCACGAACATCAACGGGAAGGTCCTTGGCAGGAGCAATCTCAACGACCTTCTGGTGACGACGCTGGACGGAGCAATCACGCTCGAAGAGGTGGACAACATTTCCCTGGTTATCACCGAGAAGCTGGACCTCAATGTGCTTAGGCTGGTCAAGGAAACGCTCGACGAAGACGGTACCGTTACCGAAGGCGGTGCGGGCCTCGGAGGTAGCACGCTCGAAGGAGTCACGCAGCTCGGATTGATCACGAACAACACGCATACCACGACCACCACCACCAAAGGCAGCCTTAATAATGATGGGGAAACCAAATTCATCAGTGAAAGACTTGACCTCTTCAAAGCGCTCAACGGGGCCTGGGGTTCCAGGAACAACGGGGACATTGCACTTGATAGCGGCGCGGCGGGCAGAAACCTTATCACCAAGGGCATCGATAGTTTCAGCAGTAGGACCGACGAACACAATGCCAGCCTTCTCGACATTCCGGGCGAAGTCGGCGTTCTCTGACAGGAAACCGTAACCAGGGTGGATCAGGTGGACACCGTGCTCCAAGGCGATCTTGATGATCTCCTCACCGGCCAGATAAGCACCCACGGGGGTATATTGGCCCCGGTGACCGATCATGTAGGCCTCATCAGCCTTTTGGCGATGCATTGAGAGACGATCTTCGTGTGAGAAGACTGCGACCGTCTGGAGGGACAGTTCGTGTGCGGTACGGAAGATACGGATGGGAATTTCACCACGGTTGGCAACTAGAATCTTTTGGAAGTGCATAATCGTCGAGTTGGCCCGCAGACGGCGGTGGACTGAGTCCTGGTGGTGCTCATTGTGGTCCTCGATGAAGTCGGACTCATCAATGGCCTCCTCCGGTTGGCGGTGCGGGGCAGCCATTGTGAATGTGTATGTGATGGGATGGGAAATAGGTTACAAGGGAGGGTTGAGTTTACTAGAGAGGATTAGATTAGAAGAAGTTTCTCTCCAGATGAAGCATCCAAGGTTCTTCTCCGGTGTGGAAAGCAGGAGGGCGGTGACTCACTATAAGAAAGCTCGTGGGGGAGCTATCTGGAATTCTGGATCCAATTTCAGGCCGGTTTCGGCAGGTCACTGCACAATCACCCTGTTTCTTCAGTATAAGTAAAAGGAGGTATTGTATAATATAGATTGAATAGAATTGATAGTTGAAGAATGAAATATAAAGACAAAAAAAAAAAAAAGGAAGTAGGAAGGTTGGGGGAGGGGGAGAGATAGATAAAGAGGGGAATCACAAGCACGGATCTACATGTCACAGATACTTTCCGGGGCGAGAGGATTGACTCCAGGAATGAGGTAACAAGTACATACAGGTTCACCGGTACACCGGGGGGCCAATGCCTAGAAATTGAGAAAAATAAGAAAATAAGAAAATGATCAAATCGAATAGAATAATAATTGAATAAATGATTTTTTTTTAAGGGAGATTATTATTGATATTATTGAGTTATTGAATTATCCAATTTAAGATATTCTATGGGTCCTTTTTGTACTTTGTACTGCCATATACCATAACTATACCATATATACCCATAGTTATACTAGTTAACCCTAACTACTCCGTATACTATCCTATTATTCCCTACCCCGGAGA